CGCATTGGTTACAAACCGGGCACCGCGGGCTCGGCCCCTTCGTGGTCCCGTTGGGCCGTCCCCATCCTCTATGACGAGTGGGACGGCAAAGTCGATGTGGACCATCTTTTCCGAGGCGACATGCCCATAATGGTTTGTCCGCATACTACAGCGCTTTATTAATCACTGATTTACTTGTCAGGTCTTCGTCTCCGTCGTTCGAGGGCCCAAAGGCGCCAAGGGTCTTTTCGAAGGCCTTTCCAAGCTCCCGCAAGCCAGATGCCTCGAACGGATCCACAAGATTACCCGCGCCACACCTTGCGTGATTTCTATCGGGTCCATTCTGGTGCGTCGACTTTTCACTCTACCGTTCTACTCCTGATATCTTTCAGACGATTTGGCTCTTCTCCCCGGACACCCAGCTCTTGCGGGTTGGTGACGAGACCAAGATCGATTATGCTCGTCGTCATCGGCTCTACGTCCGCCGAATCCGCGAAGGACTGCGCGACAAGAAGGCGTGGGCCATTAGCCTTCTCGAATACTGGAACCGCATCCTTTTCCCCAACGCGGACGAGTCGAGCCGTGGCGACGCAGCAGGCTACGAGCCGGAAGAAGAAGACGATCTGGACGACATCTTTGATCAGGCCCCCGCTGTCGCGGAGCCCCAGGTACGTCTGACCTCTTTACCTCGAGTCCCTCTTCTGATGGCTTGTGCAGGCCGCTTCCCGTGACGACGATGACGACCACGACGACGATGACCAGCGTCGCGCGGACATTCGCACCAATCAACGCGCCTCGCCGTCCTCGCCGTCTCCGCCCCAGCGCTCGCAGCTCGCATCCGGCAGCGCACGTCATCCGCCCCGCGCTCAGCCTGCTCAGTCGTCGCAAGCCGCGCCACGCACGGGTGCGCAATCTACCTCCCACAGGCGTATGGAATCTTTCGGCGATTATCGTGTTCGGTAGTTTTGTAGCCGCATTCATGTATTATTTGATTCGAAACAATTTTTTTTTTATTTGCCCCGTGCGCACTGGTTCCAACGACTTGAGACTTGTCTTAAGGTCTGATTTTCATGGCCAAGTTGGAACGGCTTGGAACCCACGGTGGGGATTGGAACCGGTTTGATGAAGTTGACCTATGAGTCCCAAGCCACGAAAACATTTTGACCATAGAACGCCTTCGCACCGGTTGAATGGCGTTCAGACCAGACTGGGATTTTTCCGACATAGTTCTTGTCCTTTGCGTCACCGGAGAATTTTGAGAGAATTACTATTTTGGTTTTTTTCAAATAGGACTTCGGACTAAATTTTCACGCACTAAGAATAATGGGACGCTTTGCCGCCGGCGTCACTTGATGCAAACAGAGCCTGTCATTATTTACCGCCGTACCATACGCGCCACGTCTCGTGACCGTGTTTGGCGATCTGCCGAATGGCCTGACTAATAGGCACCTACGAGCGGCTCGGGTCGGCACCGCTGGCTTCGACCAAAACGTTCGCGTGGTTGAACCGAGGGTTGAAGTTCACCACCACAGTCGATTTGAACTCAAACCACAATGCCCGCCCCAGCAATTGTAAAAGCTTCCAATGCGACCTTCAGTCCCTCCTACCTTCCCGTCGCTGTCTTCGTCGGCGGGACGTCAGGCGTCGGGCAGGGCATGGTGGAAGCCTTCGCACGCTACGTCCAGGTATTCATGGTTTTTTCAACGCGGATGATGATTCTCACCTTTCTTTCGTGTGTCCAGGGGCGCGCGCATATCGTCATCGTGGGGAGAAACGAGCACGCCGCGGCCGAAATCATCGCCCACCTCCCGAAGCCCGCCGTCGGAGACGCAGACGGATGGAAACACGAGTTTCTGTCCTGCGACGTAAGCGTCATGGCATACGTTCGCGCCGTATGCAGCGAAATCCGCGCCAAAGTCACGCGCATCAACTTTCTCGTCCTGACGGCGGGATACAGCTACAGCGATCACTTCTGAGGGGCTCGATTTGCTTCTCGCTATGCGGTGAGCCTTTCTCGCTCATTCAGGCCTACCTTGAAGCTAAATGTACACAATTTTTAGGTTCTACCAGCGCTACGTTTTCATCAAAGAATTGCTCCCCCTCATTCAGGCGGCGCAAGGGCTGTCACAGGACGCAAAAGTGATGTCCGTGCTCGGCGCGGGGCTCGGTAGTCCAAAGCGTCCCATCGACCTCGACAATTTGGGCAACACCTTCAACTCGCGTGAGGGACGCATGAAGGTCGCGATGCGCAGTATGGTCTCAAGCTCGGGATACACGGATGCCATGCTCGCCGTGAGCCTAACCTTTGAGCTATGATGATCCTATTCTGACGCAAACCATATGTTTTCCAGCATTTTGCGGCACAGAATCCTGGCATCGCGTTCACCCACATCCATCCGGGGATCGTGAAAACAAGCGCGCTACGTGTGGACCTTGATGGGTTTCTCACACCGCTGGCGTGGATCATTAATTTTATATTGCCGTTCCTCGCTGTATCCCAGGTGCGCCGGTTGCGTATTCCTTGAGAAAATGTTTCTGATTCATGTTACTTGCCAGGACGAATGTGCAGAGCACATGCTGTATGCGCTCTTTACCGGAGAGCGCGGCCTGTTTATCCGGGGCCGCTATGGTGACATTTGCAGCCAGCTGACATTCGAGGCACCGGTGGAGCTCGGGCAAGGGGAGGAGACGGTACGTGGCTCGATCTTCAATCCCCAAAATTCCTTCAATCTTGAGAGCGGACGCTGATTGGTATTCCGTCATTCCACAGAGCGTCCTGAACGGTGTCCCCATGACCGGGTATGGAGCTTCCGATCTTGGTGTCCATCGGATCGTGGAGCACAGCGAGCTAGTTACAAGCGCGTAGACTCTCGGCAAATGCTGTCGTTGAACCTGTTGTCATCTCATTCTGCAACACCTTGTCGTGGTTTGTCAATCTCTCATCTATAACCATTTACGGTACCAATAAAATGGCTTGTTCAATCCACATGCATCAGCAGCTCACGCAAAAGGGCAATGAGACACAAGGGTGATGGACTTGCGAACTGAGTTGCTCTTCGTCTTTCATTCACTGAATTCACGGTCTATGCAGGTTGTTTAACATGCCGAGCCACGACTACTTGACGCAGTCATCTAACATGTTCACTGAACACAGATATCAATTCAATTTGTTCCGCGTATAGATATGCCGTCACATGCTCGGCCATCTCGGGTATGTTGAATATTGCGCCGATGAGGTGGTGAGCAGTCCAGGGTAGCCTAGCTGATCGGTCTGAGGATTGAGTGTTTTATTCGGAACGTCACTAAGCTATCGACGGACGACGATTGCTTCATTCCCCGCCCCGTGACTGATATTCAATTGGGTGGCCGACGTCTTTCTGGCAGTGGCACATATCCTGTATTTAGTTAACACAGGCCAGATTTCATCCCGCACTGCTCTGTGAGAGCTACTGGGGTTCTCTAGCAGCGGGGCTGACTTTGGAACGCTGTCAAGACATCAGCAATAAAAAGCAAGAGGCAGCCATAATGCACCGGCGGGGAATCGAACCCCGTCTCACCCTCAACTTTTAACTGTACTTCTTGATTGTGTGGGTGCGTGTTCCGTACACGACCGATGCTTATATCGGCTGAGTTTGAGCCTCGTAAGGTGCCGACTTCTGGGTTTACGGATATTACTTTTTGTGCTACTACTAGTAGCTCTGTTTGCGATACAGGCCGGAAAGTGAGTGGGAGGCTCGGGGAGGACAGCCCTTCGCAACGCTGTGTGACTCTCGACGCCACAGGAGAAAAAGAGGACGAACCATACCTATTCATGCACCAGGGGGGAATCGAACCCCGTCTCACACTCCCGAGAGTTGCCCGAGAATGTCATCTTTGAACGGTGTCGGTGCGTGTTCCATACACGGCCGGGGCTTAGACTATCTCATTTGGAGCCTTTTTTTAAGTTGAAGTAAAGTCACAATTTCTGGGTTTACGAATTGATTCTTGTACGATCCTGTGTTTGCGACGCTGGCCGAATTTTATCTATCTGAAGGTAACTCCCGTCGCTTTCTCACCGAGGAGCTAACTTAGAAACGCTATCAAAACCTTAGCCTTAGCTGACCACACCGGCAGGAAGAAGCAGGAGGCAGCGATAATACACCGGCGGGGAATCGAACCCCGTCTCACCCTCGCGAGAACGTAATTTTCGGGGTGTATGGGTGGGTGTTCCATACACGACCGATGCTTAGACTATCTCATTTGGTGCCTTGTAAGTCAAGTGCCGACTTCTGTCAATGTGGTTATGAATTATTTCTTGTGCTATCCGGATTTATTCCAAGAGCAACGTTTCCGTCTCTTGCAGGGGCCTGACTTGGCCATGACAACTCTGTATGATATTGGACCACACCAACAGCAAAAAAGGTCAGCCGACTGATTATGCACCGGCGGGGAATCGAACCCCGTGTCACCCTCGACTTTGTAACACCCAAATTGTGGGTGCGTGTTCCATACACGACCGATGCTTATACTTACCGGCTGAATTTGAGCCTCGTAAGGTGCCGACTTCTGGTTTTACGGATATCTTTTCTTGTGCTATCTATATGTGCGACGCTGGCCGAATTTTATCTGTCTGAGGGTAACTCCCGTCGCTTTCTCGCCGCGGGGCTGACTTAGAAACGCTGTCAAAACCTCAGCCTTAGCTGAACACACCGGCAGGAAAAAGCAGGAGGCAGCCATTATGCACCGGCGGGGAATCTAACCCCGTCTTACCCTCAAACTCGATACCATCCAATCGTGTGGGTGCGTGGTCCATACACGACCGGTGCTTATACCGGCTGACTTTGAGCCTCGTAAAATGCCGACTCCTTGGTTTAGGGATTTTTGTTCTTATTTTTTCTTGTGCTACCACCTCTGTTTGCAATTGCGACGTCAGCTGGATTTTACCTGTCTGAGTAATGATCGCTTCTTTTGCAGCGGGGTAAATTCGCAGATCTGTGTGACAGAGTACAGCAAGGGGGAAAAAGAGACGACTGACTGCCCTATGCACCGGCGGGGAATCGAACCCCGTCTTACCCTTGAATCGAACGAGATTGAAATTGCGTGGGTGCGTGTTCCATACACGACCGGTGCTTATACCGGCTGACTTTGAGCCTCGTAAGGTGCCGACTTCTGGGTTTTCGGTTCTTTGTTCTTGTGCTATCCGCTGTCTGCGACGCAGGCAAGAGTGACTGGCTTTTTTACAGTGAGACTGACATCGCAACTCTGTACCACCTCTTAGACTACGCTAGAAAAAGAAGGTGAGTTTTATTCACGCTTTATTTATGCACCGGCGGGGATCGAACCCCGTCTCACCCTCAAATCGAACGGAAGAAATTGCGCGGGTGCGTGTTCCATACACGACCGATGCTTATACCGGCTGAATTTGAGCCCCGCAAGGAGCCAACTTCTGGGTTTACGAATTGCTATTTTGTGCTCTGGTCTATTTGCGACGCAGGCCAGATCTTATCTCACACCGCGAACTGAGAATACCTGCGGGGTGACTTCGCAACGAGCCGAATTCACAACTCTGTATGACCTTAGACGACACGCAAGTGACCAAGAGGACAAAAAGAGGAGAGTCTATACGAATATATTCTGCACCGGCGGGGAATCGAACCCTGTCTCACCCCGAACCTCTGAATGGCATTGCTCATCGTGTGGGTGCGTGTTCCTACACGCCCGGTGCTTGAAGGATCTCATTTCCTGCATTGCAAGTCGAGTTCTAAATGCTGCGATTACGAATCGATGTCGAGCACAAAAGTACGAGAGACACCCGGTGCGAGCTCTATTTGGGTTCTTAAGCGTCTGGCCGGGAGAGTATCAGACTGGGACTGGAGTGGGGTCGAAATAGCGCCGAACTTTCGTTCATTGAGCCGGCGCTCTAACCTCCGTTTTGGAACTTCCTCATCAATTGTACCAAGGTTGAAACTTTTGGCACTTGCCGCGGCCGAAGGCTGTGGTGCCCGGCACCTCACGTGTGTGTACGTGGGAAAACAAACAAACAGCGCCAGCTCACCACCTCCTCGACCCCGACCACCACCACCACCACCAACAACTTCAACAACCACCAAAAGCAGCAGCAGCAGCAGCCCACAATGGACGACGGTACGCGCCCCGCCCCCGCCTTTTCGCCTCCAGTATCAGTACTTCAGTAATTACACACCCCCTCGCCTTCGATTTTCCGCTTTCCGATTTTCGACTCTTTTTCGACTCGATATCGCCTTTGTTTGCGTCGTTTCGGCTCGATTTTCGGCCTTTTGCTGTCGCCCCAGCCCCAGTAGTCGACCTGGTCCTCTGGGCAAATTTTCTGGCCTCGACCCTGATGTCGACGGACGACAGCCGCCAGCACACGATTTTTCGTTGATCTGTGCGCTTTTTGTCGACCTTTCGGGCCCGCCCGTATCGACTGGACCGACGGCCATGGTGCTAGCAGCTGCTGCGCCGGCGGCGACGTTATCGCTCGATTTCTCTCTACGGCGTCGCCACATATCCCACCATATGTACCAGCAGCTACGCTACGATTTCCTCACCTCCAACCCTCACCATACACCACGCACCTAACCTCCCACCCTCGCCTTCTGTCTCCACCTCTCTTTCGCCTCGCCTCCCTCCACCACACACCATAACTCACGACGCTACACAGCATGGCAGTCCCAAGACATGGCCCCCGGCGGGGCGAGCATCCCCCTCGACGCCCCCGCCTCGGGCGACGCGTGGAGCAACGGGGCGAACGGCGTGGACGGCGACCGCGACCGCGATCGTGATGGAGGAAGGGGTGGGGGGAGGGGGAGGAGCCGAAGTCGGAGTCCGCCTAGGAGGGATGGGGAGAGGGGGTGAGTCGTTCTTGTTTCGATTTTTTTGGGTGGAGAGGATTCTTTTTCTTCGTCTCGAGGGCTTTTTTCTTCGTCCTCGACTGTGCCTTCGTTGGCGGGTACTCCCTGCCTTTTACTTCCTTTCCCTGCTACTTTTTTTCGACTTTCGTTTTCTGTCACCGCGTCCGACGTGCGTGTGTATTGACCGTGTCTTGCCCATGCTCGTTTTTGTGCACTTGCTGCACCTTGTCGATTTTGTGCCCCGCGTTCGCATTGTCTCGCTGGCTCGCCATCCCACACACCGCTGTCTGTCCCTCCCTTGCACTCCCTCCCCTTACCCTACCCGCTCTCCTCCCTCCCCTCCCATCCTCCCTCTTCCCTTCCCCTTGCACTGGCACCCTTTCCCCTCCCCCCTCCCTTTCCTCCTTCCCCTCCCCTCCCCGCTTCCCACTCCCTCCCTCCCCGCCTTGCACTCGCCTTTCACCCGCTCCACTCCCCTCCCCCTTCTGCCCTTCCTGCCCCATCCCTCTGCTCCTCTCCCCCTCGTCCGTCTCCCATCCACTTCGCCTTTCACTCACCTCGCACCCGCTCCTTCCCCCTCCCTTGCACCCCGTCCTCGCCCACTCCTCTCCTTCCCCTCCGTCTCCCTGCCCATCCCTTGCACCCTTTTCCACTCACTACAATCGCTACGCTTACTTCAATCGCTCCCTCCCTTCAATTGCTCCCCTCGCCCCCTCCCCTTGCACCCACTCCTCCCCGCCTTGCACCCTCTTCCACTCGCTACACTCTTCCTCCCTGCCATCCTCCCCTCCCCCCCTCCCTCGCCCTTCCCACTACGCTTCTTGCACTCGCTTCGCTGCACTCGCTCCCCTTGCACTCGCTCCGCTCGTGCTCGTACGCTAACACAGCTACGGCAGCCACAACCCGGGGAACAACCTGCACGTCTCGGGGCTGAGCCACAAGATCGACACGCGCGACCTCGAGGCGGCGTTTGCGAAGACTGGAAGGGTGCGTGCTTGCGTTTTTTTCGTTCACCTTCCATATCATGCCATCGCTCCTCCGGCTCCTTTTCACGAGCCAACATCTCCCACTGCTGCCATTGTACACCGCATCATCTCCTTCCCACACCTCCCCTCGCCATCCTTTTCTTCCCTCCCCTCCCTCCCCCCTTCCTGTTGCCGTCACTCAACTAACTCCTTTTCGCAGGTCCAAAAAGCCTCAGTCATGTACGACCCGCACACGCGCGAGTCGCGCGGGTTCGGGTTCGTGACGATGGAGACGCCGGAGGAGGCGGAGGCGGCGGTGGCGGCGCTGCATGGGACAGAGCTCGGGGGGAAGGCGATTCATGTCGAGAAGGTGGGTTTTGTTTCTCCATCTTGAGTCCGGACTTCGTTGCCGTGCTGGTCGTCTGCTGCATCGACCCTGGCGCGGGCCTCGCGTTGCGTTGCTTGCCTTCGTGCAGCGCGTTGAGCAACGAGCTTTACGTCGCTGCATTGAGTTGCGTTGCGGCCTTGCCTCTCCCTTGCCTTAAGCAGCAGCGCACTTGCGCGCAGCCACTTATCTCCTAACCGCTCCTACGTCTCATCGACCCTTACCGATCGCTGACGGATTTCCTTGTTTTACAGGCTCGCCGTGGACGCGCGCGCACGCCGACGCCGGGGCGGTACTATGGGCCGCCGAAGAGGGGGGATAGTGAGTCTTTTCCCCTCTTTTTCCCTTGCTTTTTGGCGTGCATGCTGGAGAGGAAGAGGGCGGATGTGCCCTTTCTGCACGCGGGAGAGGGGGAGATCCTGTTCGTATGAGTCGAGGTGGGGTACGCGTTGCGAGCAACGAACTTCGCTGCATCATGCCTCGCTACATCGTACTAGACGAACTCGCGGCGATTTCGAGGGGAGGGCAGTTTCCATAAAAGGAAAGGCAATTTCCATAAAGGGAATCGTGCTCCATCTGCACTTTGTCCTCGTCCTCACCCGTCCTCACCTATCGGCGGAACTGGCCATCGTGTTTACGTTCGCCCTGCGTGCGCTCTTCCGCCGCCCTTTCCTCGACTGCCATGCTTCGTCTTTCTCGTCCCATCCCACACACTTGCGCCCACCATTGCCTCATCGCATCACACCGCTAACCCCACTCGCAGACGAACGCCCCTACGACCCGCGCCCCTACGACTCGCGCTACGCGCGCGACTACGACGACCGCGACCGCCGTGGCGGCGGGCGGTACGACGACTACCGTGGCGGCGGCGGGCGGCGCGATGACTACCGTGACCGCGGGGACTACGGGCGCGGCGAGTATGACCGCGGCGGGCGGGGGGATTATGAGCGGGGCGGGAGGGGGGAGTATGATGATCGGGACCGCGGGGGCAGGGGAGGACGTGGCGGGCGCGGTGGGTATGATGAGAGGCGGTATTAGGTGTTAAGTAGGAGGGGGAGGGTGATAAGGAGGGGAGGGGAAGGGGAGGGATGGTGAGGAAGGGAGGGAGGAGATGAGGAGGGCGATCGAAAGCAAAATCTGTGAGGGGACGCGTCGAAGACGGATATGATTTTTTTTCCCTTTTCCTTCTTCTTTCATACTTCGTCCTCCTACCTATCCTGTTGTTTTACTGCTTATACACGACTGTTTGACTGGCTAGTTTCTCTGTACTCGACTGTCAACTACTTGTGGGATCTCGAATTGAAACTGGAAAGCCCGAGTGGCGTTGTGGCTGTGTTAACCTCTCCTGTCTCTTCACCACCACCAGTCGATAAACGCCCCAGCACCACGACGGTCAGTACTGCAGACATTTAGGCAATCTCTCCTTCTTGAGTTTTGAATTGAAGCTCAATGGCACAGGTCGCCTTTGGCTGTGTTATATCTGGCACCACTTGTGAAGCTCTTCTCGGACGGTCAGTGCTGGCGAATTGACGATAAACTGTCGTTGATTATCTGGAATACTCAGATGAACGGCGTACCTCCACATTTGAATCCAGCTCCCGGAACGCGACACCACGCGCTCTTGACCTCCAACGAACCGCCTCGGGATCCTGACATCCCCACTGTCCAATCGGTCCTCTTCGAAACCGACGCGCGTCTGGCATCTCTGGACAATGAGATAACACGCGCCTCTGAACAGCTGGAAAAGCTGAAGCAGAAGCGCTCCGCGTTGGCAAGCCACCGAAGGCAGAATGGAGCGATACTCTCCCTTCTCCGGATGATGCCACTCGAGATTCTTGGGGAGATATTCATGCTCACGTTGCCCTCTCCCAGGCCTCAGAAAGGAATCCAGATGACGGACAGTCCGTG